AAACTTCAGTGAACACAGGCTCAAATTCTAATGGACATCTTTGGAATTTACTTTGGAAGTAGAGAAAGAATTCCAACAAAGGGAGCGAAGAGCTTGAGAAAGGCCACTTAAAGATGTGGAATGGATGCAAATGAGAAACAGTGGAGCCATTTTCCTCTCATATCACCTCTTGGAATCCTAAACTCCAAAATGTTCCATTTGCATTGGATCAGCCAGTGGAAGTGGTTTAGGCACTTACCCTCCTTTCCAAGGATATGGATTTGAATGTAGGTCAGACTGGTAGTTCGAAGGTCTTCTCTGCCCAATGTGCATTGTGTGAAATGAGTTTGAACTCATAATGACATTCCAGGTGGACTCAGGCTCCTGGAGCATAACTGCTCTTGTCTTAATTTGATAAAGGAATTGTACTTTCTCGTTGGAATGGAAAATAAACAACAGTTGTTCAAAAAAAAATTTTTGGCTGAACCACAGCATGAGGCCGTGGTTACAGAGTGATACCTGATCTGGTAATGCTTGGTGCCTCCAATATGTGACCGAAATGAGAAGTACTTCCTTTCCCAGAATTACTATTCAAATATTCACAGTTTTTTTTGAAAGAAAAAATCACACTGGGACATCAAATGGTGCAGATGTTGTTTGGTTTCTTTTAGGCAATGCTAACGTAACTGAGGCTATGCTGACACCTAGTGGTGGGATTGACATCACATGAAATTATGTGCACTAAACCAGTTACAGCAGTTTGAGGACATTGAAAGTGCTTATCTTCAGCACTTTCCAACCCCTTCGGTTCCAAACAAGTCATGTTGCACTTAATTCTGTTTCTCTCTCCAAAGATGCTGCCTAATCAACTGAGGTTTTCCTAAAATTTCCGTTTTTAACAGATCTCCAGCATTTACAATATTGTGCTTTTATTTGATAGTTTTAAAATATCTGAGAATGTGAAAGGAATCATACAAATGCAAATCACTTTTTTTTAAGTTTATGTATCCTCTCATACCATGCTAAATCCAATCCTACTTCATTTTCCATCTGTACAATCATCCTTTTACATCAGCTATTGAGTAAAAATCAACAAAAGGGAACTGTACAACCATTGACATTTATGAACTTAGAAGGAATCTATTGAAGTCTTTGTGTCTATGCCAGAACCATTAGCACTTCTCCCCTTTCAATCCCATTTTGGATTTGTACAAAAGAGGTGCAAGTGACACATGCCAGTTCCAGCAATCCTGGTTATGTTGGTGACAGTGAGTAGACAACTAGTAAATTGATTAACTTTGTCATCAAGTTGGAAACCAGATATTTCAGAGCTTCATGGAAAATGTCAACCATCATAACTTTTTCTAGGTCATATCAAGAGATTCAAAGCTCAGAGTTACTGTACACTATCTGTACTTGCATTTATATGTCCCAATACTATTTGCAATTAAATATAATAAAATTATTAATGGATTTTGGTAACAAAATTGCAGATCTAAAATGAATAACAAAAATTATACATAAAGAATGAGCCAAGCAGTATAAAATTATTGTGAGTAACTGAAGTCAAAATGGTACAATCCATTGCCACAGCAAATTATTACTGCGTAATTAAAGATTGTCAAGGCTTTATACATGAGTTGTGTATATGAGCACTATTAAAACAAACTAAAGCTGCCAGTCATAAACCAGTGGTACAAAGGTATTATTGGCTGATTCTTCCAAGGAGTGACAATCAATTTAGGATTGCAGCTCTGTCCTTTCTTCTTGCCCTGCCCCAGAGACTTCATTTCTGGCTCAGACATCTAACACGCTTCTTGAGAAATGAAGAGCATGTCTGGTGTGTTGGTGCAGTGCAGTGCAGACCATCAGTCTACTCTCGGTCATCAAGAAAGTGTCATCAACAGTGCTATCAGGCAATAACCTGCTCAGTGTCACCAAGTTTGGGTTCCACTGTGGCCACTCAGGTCCTGACCTCATTATAGTCTTGGTTTAAAAATGAACAAAAGTGCTGAATTCCAGAGGTGCTGTGAGATGGACTGCTCTTGATATCAAGGCTGCATTTGACCTACATTGCCACTAACTTTCCCTGTTGCTGGACACCCATGGTCCATGTGTGGTAGTCACTTCCAGAACCTGAAATCAATGCTTTGGTGTGCCAATAAGTGTGTGGACATCTGAATGGCTATTGCATTTGACTGAATGTGGCATCAAGAAGCCCTAGCAAAACTGGAGTCAATGGGAATTGGGGAAAACTCTTGGCTAGCTGGAATTAATTCCAACACAATGGAGAGTAGTTGAGGTTATTGGAGGCAAATTGCCTCAACTCCAGGACATCTCTGCAGGAGTTCCATCTTCACCAGTTTCATCAGTTATCTTCCCTCCATTGTAAGGTCAGAAGTTGAGACATTCATTGATAATTGCTCAATATTCAGCACCATTCACGACTGCTCAGATACTAAAGCAGTCCATGCCCAAACGCAGCAAAAGCTGGACAACATCCTTAAGTGGCTAGGATCATTCACCACATAAGTGTCAAGAAATGACCATTTCAAACATGAAAATCTAACCATCACCCCTGGACATTCAATGGTGTTACCATCACTGAATCTCCCACTGTCAACATTGTCGGGGTTACCATTGACTGGAAACTGAACTGGACTAGCCATGTAAATATAGTACTAACAACAACAGGTCAGAGACTAGGAATACTGCAATGAGCAACTCATGTCCTGACTCCCTAAATCTTATTCATCATTTACAAAGCACAAGTCAGGATTGGAATGGAATACTCCCCACTTTCCTGGATGTGGGTTTTTCCAAAAATACTCAAGAAACTTGAAACCATCCAGGACAAAGCAGCCTGCTTAATAACAGTATAGAGTGCTATCGGCAAGATGCCCTTCAGAAATTCACCAAGATTCCTTGGACAGCACCTTCCAAACCGACAACCACTTCCATCTAGAAGGACAAGAGTGACTGATACATGGAACATCATTACCTGTATGTTCCCTCAAAATCACTCACCATCTTGACTTGGAAATATATCTCCATTCCTTCAGTGTCACTAGGTTAAAATCCTATGGTATTGTAGGTCTTCCTACACTAAGTGGACTATAGCAGTTCAAGAAAGTAACTCACCACTACTTTCTCAAGCAATAAATGTTGGCCCAGCCAGCAATGTCCACATCCCATGAGAGAATTAAAGAAAAGGACTAGCACTGGAGGCCAAACTATACCCCTGTATTCGTGGGTTTAAAAGTCTCAAGGGCACTCAGAAAAACTATAAAGAGAAGTTCTGAGGAAGAGTTACCAGACCCAAAACATTAACCCTGATTTTTTTCTTCACAGATGCTGCCAGACCTGCTCAGCATTTCCAGCAACTTCTGTTTTTGTTCCTGATTTACAATGCCTGCAGTTCTTTGGGTTTTTATAAAGAGAAGTAATTGTACAAGGTAAGTCAGTGAGGGACAGGGTGCCAGGGGGCTAAGGTGGTACAGTGGCAGATGAGTAAGTTGAGTGAGGAGGTAGGTTGGCATGTAGGTGGGTGTTGAGTGTGGGTTGTCAAGTCCATGAGGTCAGGTCAGCTGAGGTCTGATGTCAAGTGTAGATGGTGGTCAGTGAGGATTGGATTGGGGAGGCGTGATATCAGGATGAGGGATGGAGTCAGGTGTGATGTGTCAGTGATGAGTTAGCAGAGGGGAATCAGTTTTACTATTACCCAGTTAGACCAAGTTTTAATCCCTGTAACTGACCTGTGAAACTACTCAGGCCAATGAGTTGGAATCTCATGTAGCCTACAAATTTAACTCAAAGTTCTTGGTTTTTTCAGAGGATACCAGATGCAGGGTAATTGCCCACTGGAAATTCAAACATTCCAGGCAATTCCCATCCATTTGAAGAGATCCCGTTGTGTGTCTTTCTGGGTACATTACTGCAGTAAGTATCTTCCAATGGGAAGATCTGGACCTATTTGTATTAACTGTCAATAAATCTATCCTTTTAATTGGCACAGAGTAAACTGGAGCTCAATCTGTATCCATTTGTACAGACCACACTATTGAAACATCTGAGAGTACATGCATCCAGACCTCCTGTGCTTTGTATTTTTTACAACCTATATCTCACTCACTTACCTTGTACAAAAACTTAACTCAGAAAAAGCAGCTAAGTGCTTGAAATACATACCAGTTCTAGGACTTCACTTCAACGTGTCAGCTAGAACTCTCGCCAATTCAGCAAGGGTGCAAATAGATCATCAGTGAGGACAGGCTGATTGGTGCACAGAATTGGTGTGAAATAGAACTGGGGTCTCTGGATCCCTGGGAGTTCACAGACACTTCCCAGGGAGGGCAGTGATAGGGTAAACTACTGCTCAAATGCAAACCAGCCAGCAGAGTGGACTTGTGTCATCTTGTGTGCAGTCACCAGGTAAACCTGCAAGTACCCAGATGGGTCATGGACATCAGGTGAGTTCAGCATTGTTGCTGAACAAATATGTAAACAGTACTGCTGCTTAACCACAAAGATAGGGTGTTAGAATACAAGTTCAGATAGTTATTGCATCTATTATATCGCTTGGTTATGTGAGGGGAGAGTGTGGGATTGCTAACCTGTTTTAAACCAAATCCACTTCAACTAAGAAAACTCAGATAAGGTCTGGGCAGCTGAGGTTTGGATGAATTGATGTTAATGGAGGATAGAGGAAGGCCAGGCAGCACATCTAATGGTGGGGAATTGCAAGAGGGTTTCAGCAGTATTGGGCAAGGTAAGCTAAAGGTGGGGGTTGTTAGAGGTTGGGAGCATTAAGGTGAAGATATGAACTTGTTGTTCAGCTTGCAGTCTGGTCGGATACTAAAATTTAAACTACACTTGCTGATAATGACCATTCACCAGTGTCAAGTTACAATAAAAACACAGTGAGGTGGGAGGTGTCATTAGACACTTCTTGTGGAAAGGTTTAAATTTCAGGCCAAATTTTATCCCCCTTTTCTGCCAAACAATTGCTATCAACAGCTTACCTGGATCTTTTGCTGATCGAGTTCAAGTTTTTTTGTGAGATTTGTTAGTTTCCAGGTTAGCTCATCCCGCTCCTGCAAGTTCTTCTTGTCACAGAGAACCTTTAGCTTCTGCAGAGAGTTCTTGGTCTTCCACAGCTCTGACTCTGCCTCTTTCAGTTGCTTCGACACATTCCGATCTTGCTCCTTTGACTTTCGCAGCATTTCTTTCAACATCCGCACTTCACTCTCGTGCCTGCTCAGAAGCTGAGGTAAGTTATGCTGCTCATTCTCGAACTTGACCAGTGCCCTCATGTGTCTGTACTGGAGCTGCCTGAGCAGTCTGTTTTCCAGCCTGGCATTTTCCAGTTCCCGCTGAAGATCACACACCTCATTCTTCAACTCTTTAGTTTTGTGCAGTCTGGCTGACAATATGTGGCGGGTCACTGGATCAAACTCCTGCCCACTAGTGTCCAATTTAGAACAGTTCTGTGATTTATTCTTATATATTGAACGGTTCAGATGTTGCAGCATTTTAAATGTTGGTTTTGTTTGTGCTAGGGAATGAAAGAACAGGAGAAATAAGGCCCTGCACTGAATATTATAGAATATAGAGACATATACATTAAAGGGATATTTCTCACTGGATTCATTTCCGTGCAGGTATCAGTGCTGCTTTATTACCCTGTTTAACCCATTATTCTGTTGCTCATGGATTTGGCTAAACTTCCAACAGGGAAAAAGTTCCAGGAAAACGAAAGCTACACTCGATGCCAAGTAGGCCCCAATTGTGTTGTCTCAAGCCAAACAAAAGTTGATAACGTGTTATCTGAAAGGAGAAGAAATGGTTTACGCTGCATACCTCTCATATTTTCTACAGCTGTTTACACCTTGCTGCCATGGCAACCACACCCGATCTGGAACTCTGCACACCTTGTCCAAAATACCTGTTACCATATAAGTGAATAAAGCAGCTCCAGGGCCTGTACATATTGTTCCCATTGGTCTTTGGGCAGTCAGAAAAACACCACAGGGATATAAATCATGAGAATAAATATACCTCCTTTCAGGGCACAGCTGTACATTATCCAGAAGGGATCACTAATGATCCACAGCAGGACTTTTGCTGTTTATTTTTCTGTCCCTACCCTAGAGGATTGCTGTGATTAATGGTACTACCACAACTGTGATTACCACTTTAAGATAAGAACTGATGTAATCAGCAGAATGAAAGTTGGCTGTAGATAAATAGACTAACAGCTCAACAGTAAAAGAGTTTAAATGAGAGAACAGAAGTGCTGTCTGTAAAGCTGCAGAAGAGACTACAGGCCGGAGTAGGTAGCTTTCCTGCCACTTGGTGTAGAGATGGGGGTTTGTATTTTTTACAACCTATCTTTCATTCACTTACCTTGTACAAAAACATAACTCAGAAAAAGCAGCTAAGTGCTTGAAATACATAGCAGTTCCTGCATTTCACTTCAACGTGTCAGCTAGAACTCTCGCCAATTCAGCAAGGGAGCAAATAGATCATCAGTGAGGACAGGCTGATTGGTGCACAGAATTGGTGTGAAATAGAACTGGGGTCTCTGGATCCCTGGGAGTTCACAGACACTTCCCAGGGAGGGCAGTGATAGGGTAAACTACTACTCAAATGCAAACCAGCCAGCAGAGTGGACTTGTGTCATCTTGTGTGCAATCACCAGGTAAACCTGCAAGTACCCAGACGGGTCATGGACATCAGGTGAGTTCAGCATTGTTGCTGAACAAATATGTAAACAGTACTGCTGCTTAACCACAAAGATAGGGTGTTAGAATACAAGTTCAGATAGCTATTGCATCTATTATATCGCTTGGTTATGTGAGGGGAGAGTGTGGGATTGCTAACCTGTTTTAAACCAAATCCATTTCAACTAAAAAAACTTGGACAAAGGCTGGGCAGCTGAGGTTTGGATGAATTGATGTTAACGTGGGGATGCTGGATTGATTCTAATATCTGTGGGGAAGGAAAGGGCTATCTGATCTTGTGGCTTGGAGAAGATGTTTAGCTAGGGTTTGACTGGAGGGGAATGGGGGGAAGCAGAGGGAGAGTATTGCAGCAGCAGTTCTTATCTCCTTTCAACCAGTAAACCAGTCTTCAAACTGAAATGAGAGATCAGTTCTGAGACAAACTGTCCCACATAAAGGAACCTGTGTCCCAGGAGCACCTCTCCCTGTCTGGCCTCAGATAACAAGGGAAGTGGACAGAGTTGGGGTAAGTTGTGTCAGATTCAGATTTCAGATCTTTTGTATCCCATGCCCCACAAGACCACCTGCTTTGAGGAACTAAAGTCAACTCTATTTAATTCTGGTACATCCATTACTCTAAAGGTGGAGACAGTCTATATCAAACTAGCATCTGATTGACACAAATGTGTCATACCTAAAACAACAACGATTCACAATTGAGAATTAGGGACCCTAATAACATGCAATCAGCCGCCTTAAGAAGAAGCCCCAATTAACGTTAGGATGTCTTTACTATGAATTTAACATTAACTGACTTCAGGCCAGGCCTATTCATAAATGTTTGACTTTGTGACCTTAAAGGGTCAAACCAGATAAACAGCATCACCTTAGCAGCAAATACTGTGTATTACATAATAATATCTTCATTGTCTTCATAAATAGCCTGTCATCTGACTTACCATATGTAATCTCACGGGAGAACCACCGGCGTATTAAGTAATACTCATCCATTTTATTTCAGAGTAAACTAGAGCAGATTAAACTACCAGTAAATTTGAAATAATTACATCACAATTTTCATTTTTTCAATGGTGATGTAATTGAGTGTGAACTGTTTGACCAATGCCTTATGTAAAATCTGCCATTGCAGGACAAAGTAGAAGCAAAACTCCCCACTAGTTCCACTAAGTGTTGCTTATATTAAGTAATAAATCTATAAGTGATCATCAGGTTTCCCCAAGATTATAAACCTGGTAAGCTTTGTTTCAGATATTAAAGCCATTTTATCATTCATCTTTAAGGTGCAAGTAATCACCCACAGAATTCAGTATATACAATTTTGCAATGTTTTACTCAACTTTTCCTTTTCCTAAAGACACTAACTCACATTCTACCCAGTTTCACTGCAACTGAAGACTCTCCAGAACCAAAAGAATGGCCATTCTTAGAAAGCTGCCTCTTTTTTTAGTTCAAAAACATTCTTTATTCATTAAAAAATCTTTGTATATATGCATTGTCACAAATGCAGTTGCATATCAAGTAAACAAAACGTTGGACTCTATCCAAAAACCCAAATATCTCTCATACCAATACTAATATTTATATATATTTGAGACACTGTGGGAGGGTCCCATTAACTGAACGGTTCCCTATTTACCTTCAGCAGTAAGACCTCAGACAGTGGCGGCAGCTGCCCCAAGCTTTAGTAGCTGCCTTTCTTTCCAGAAGACTCTTACATCTGGTGGGATAAGATCCATCGGCAGCAGTGACTGCCTAATATTTCAATGAAGTGATCAGCATTCCTATGCAGGTGTTGGCACACTACTTGACAATGTTGCACTTCACAGACAGTCCTGATCTCATCTGATGGTCATATCTATACACTTTCCAGGAGGGTCACTGTTGTAAAGTAGTTCTGAGAGAATTAATGTTGGATTCTGCATTAAGCTCTACTCAGTCTGATAATGTCATAAAGTCTTGGGTGGGAAAATGGGAAGAATAGCTTTCGATCTTGAAGGGGACAATTGTGTCATTTACGTCTCCAAGTGATCTCATTACAAAAATGCATGAATTGCTACCATGCAATAAAAGCATTTTATAAAAACTATAATATTTTCTTGTCAAGGCACATTTGTGATTGTTCCTCCACCATGATAAACCAAACAGGGCCTCAGATACAATCAAAGAAAACAGGAATGCTGGCAGCATACATCCTTCTACCTACAAATACCAAATAGTGATCAGTGGTTGGCATTGTTGCTTAATACTACATGGTGCAACAGTGAAAAAATGTGTTGAGCCCAGGAGAGGCCAAGGAAGTTTAAATCTTTAAAGACTTCACTACTTTAAGAACTATTCATTCAGACAGGCAGTAGTTGCGAGGTCTGGACCAAACAAGCAGTCGACAGGAACTTGTGCAAAGACGGACAGAACAGAAGCAGCTCTCAAGGCTAAAGCCTGTAATTCAGTTCATACCTGGTAAGGGAGCACAGAAGAAGCAATGCGGGGCTATCAAAAACTTTAAGACAAGCTGCAGCAGGCAGTAACAGATTCAAGTGGAAGCAAGTTTGTTAGGAACCAATGTATTGGAGCTTGATGACTGAAATTAAAAATGGCTGTCACCGAAGGGGAGAAACTTTAACAGCACAAACCCCAGACTAAGAAGACTAGAACTAAAAACAGGTCACAACAAGCTTCGCTGCCATGGCAAGCGAACACCACAAGTTACGGCTACAATAGTGAAATCAAAGGCCAAGGAAATACTTTATTCCGAGGTCACAGCACCACGAATGGTACAAAGGAACTAAGGTGTCAAAAGGAACATTGTAAAAGCTGAAGCAAACAGAGTCCAACAGAAGAAATTTCTAACAGTTGGTGGCATGGTGGCTTAGTGGTTAGCACTGCTGTCTCACAGGGGCAGGGACCTGGGTCGGAGTCCAGCCTTGGGCAACTGTCTGTGAAGTTTGGACGTTCTCCCAATGTCTGCATGGGTTTCCCCCAACAGCTCAAAGATGTGCAGGTTAGGTGGAATGGCCATGCTAAATTGCCTGTAGTGTCCAGGAATGTGTAGGCTAGCTAGGTTAGCCGTAGGATACACAGGGTTACAGGGATAGGGTTGGGATGTGGATCTGAGTGGGATGCTCTTTGGAGGGTTGATGTGGACTCGAAAGGCTGAATGACCTGTTTCCACACCTTAGGGATTCTGTGAAGGTAATTAGGAGTCTCGTGAGACCACAATAAGAGCAAGAGATCCATAGTTTAAACATGGAGAATTTATTAAGGCCACAAGCGCAATGCTTTATTTAAGAAGTCCTGGAAAAGGGGATGTATTGTGTATCAGGCTGTGAAATGTGGGAAATAGTCCATTTTGCCCGCTTGACTTGAAAGAAATTCTGGGACTTGCATATTAATCAATCAAAATCTACATCTCCTTTCTAACTGCTTAAGATTTAGCAGCCATCTTAGGTCTGTCCAATACATTCACATCAGTTCAATGACACTTTGATCTTTTTCTTATAAATTTTGTGTCTGAAGCCACATCTCTCACTAACATCTGAAGAAGCAGCGAGACTCCGAAATCTTGTGTTTTCAAATAAACTTGTTGGACTATAACCTGGTGTCGTGTGATTTTTGACCTTGCCCGCTCAAAGGCAGGAGACTTCTATTTACCTGCAAAAAGTGGGAAATCTCCATCTTCACTGCAAAAACGCAGGCAAACACCTAGTAAGCTG